AAAAAAAAAAAAAAAAAAAAAAAAATGATTGTCACAACCATGCCATTTAATACATTATTTTAGCCAGTTGTCTAAGGTAAATGTAATAAAAATATTTTTGTAATGACTTTTAAATTTTTATATTTTTAAGTGATAGAAAATTATATTATTCTTTTATCGCTTTGCTTGAGCCTTTCTTAAACTTGAGACTACTCTAAAGTGCAATCGTGACTATCATTATGTGTACAATACAATAAATTGTACAATTTTGAATTGTTGATACAGACGTATAGTAGTTGTACTAGTAGTGATTCTTGTCTTCACACGTTCCATTATTTGTGTTCATGCTAATAAAGTACAACTTTTTTTAGAAATTACATTTCATACATTAAAGGTATAAATGTCAAAATGTCACCAGTGGTGATATCACCATTGGAGATTTTCACTAGTCAGATTTTTTTAAATTTTATAAGATTAATATTAAATTAAATAATCAACTATACATATTAAACAGTTATTCTATATGTAATTTACAAAAAGAGGAGATTTGTCTAAGGTCAAAAAAGTTGTTTTTCAAACAATCAATTTTTGAGAAAAATACTTAATTTTTTCACTAAAAAAAATTTTTTTTTTTGATGAGCAATATATAAATAGGTCATAAGAAATTAGCAAAAATTTACTATTAGCTCTACGCATTTTTTTCAGGGCCGGAATTATAATAATGTCAGTCAGCTACTAAAATAAGTAATAAAATTCTGACCAACATTATCGAAATTTATCTAAAAAAGGAAAGATTTTCATAGTTATTCTGGCCTATTCTACGCGTTTATTTCTTGTTACCAATTTCAGTATTGCTCAGGGTCCTGTTCATATTCAGGAAAAGGTTTAGAAGCTGATCAGGTTTTCATAGTCAAGAAAGGGGTTTCAGGGCTACTAAAGTCTTTAGTTAATAGTTTTGTTTTATATTGTAAATTCAAAGTATAATAAGGTTTAATGTAAAAAATAGCTTGATATCCAATTTTTAAGTATAAAAATTATAAATGAAATTCGTATAAGTGATGTAAAATCAATTTTAAACACTATGTAGTTTTATAAAAGAAAATAAATAATTTTAAATATACACATATAATTTAAATGAATTAAGAAATTATTTAAACATTTATAAATTATAAATATCATGTAATAAAAATCGTTGCATTTTGCATTTTTTTTAATTTAATAAATTGTAAATTAAGTGTGACTATAAGAAATAAATGTCATTTGTTGCATATGTGATTTATCACATATATCATGTGAAATTACATGTGAGATTGTGAGATACACAAAAAAATTGATCATCCTTCTCAAACTTTCCTATGCTTTTTTTATTTACCTTTATTTATCACTCAACCTTTTTCTTTATCATTTAACCGTTTTTCTTTAGCTATCAAACTTTCATTTGTTCTATCCCTTTATCTTTAAGTGTTCAAACATTATTAAATTTCGCAATATTTATTATGAATGAAGGTAATCCTGAAGTCTTTTCAGAATTGGCGGCTGACTCAGGTTTAATTTTGTTCCAACATGAATTATTAACATTAGAAGTATTGCTATTCCTTTAGGAAAGTAACGTTTGCTAGAATCTAAAAAAAAAAATGAAAAAATATATACTAAATATTATTCTCACCATTATACCTGTCAGTTTTCAATAAATCAAAATTTCACCTATTAATATTATTGTTTCAAATATTCCAAAAAAATACTCTCTAGAAAAGTACTGCCCACTAGAATCTAAAAAAAAAAGAAAAAAAAAGAAATCAAAATTCCTATCATTCTACCAGTCAATATAGAGGTTGGAACCGACCAAAAAAACCTTAACCGATTAATAATCGATTAATATTAAAAAATATTGAAATTTTTTTTTCTTTGACCGCAGATTGCACCAAATTGTTCTTGATCATACATTTAGTTATAGGAAAGTCTTATTTATTATTATTATCATTAAAAAATTAATACAAATTCGTCCAAGTTCGGAGAACATGTGACCAAAAATTCATAGCTCTGGGCCGCATTAGATAATTTGACCAGAATTATGGTTTGATAATTTTAATCGATTAACCGATTTTTGAGATATCTTATTCGATTAACCGTCTTAATCGATTTCAAACTCTGAGTCAATATTCCAAAGAATCAAAATTTTACCTAAAAAGAGTAAAGTCCTATGAATATCGTCTCAATGTACAAATATTTCCCATATAAAAATACCACTCACTAGGATCTAAAAAATTCCATACCACCATATTTCAAGATATTAATATAGTTTAAAATGCACAAAGTACCCATTATAGAAAGAGATCAATATATTGCTCACGAGGATTAAGATATTAAAAAATGGTGTTAATTATTACACCTATTTCAAGTTGCCAGTTGCCATATTCTAAAGAATCAAAGCTGTATTCAAAGAGTGAGGTAATGTAATTATTATTATTATGAATAATTAATATATATACCAACTGCCTGTTCAAAGCCAATTAAATTTCAAATAAAAATTGTGAAAAAGGTTTAGCTGGGAATAAAAGAAAATAATCATTTCTACAATTATACAAGAAAAATTTTCTATCCACAAGATTAATATATTTATTTAAAACCCATTACACAAGGATTCATTTTATATGGGAAGTCTGGTCGTACAGATCAAAAACAAGATCGTGTTTATCGTGTTTGATAAAGATTTAGAAGTGCTTTATGTAAATTTTTTTTATAGGATTGAAAGTGAAGCTGGAACTAATGATACTAATAATATATCAAAAACTCAGGTACATAAATTTTTATTGAAGTTTATTTTGACAATTATTATAATAATTTATCTAATTTATTTTTAGGATTAACTGAAGAAATTTTGGCATTAATTGAAGAAATGAGGTTAAAACATGAAGCAGAAATTAATCTATCAAAACAACTTAATATAGAACCTGAATTTGCAAAAGCAAGATAATTTACTTTATTTAAACCATTTTAATTGCGTATAAGATTTATTTGTTTAATATTTAAAAAGAATATTATAAAATATCAAAGAGAAAAAAGAAGAATCTTTCTATATAATGCATTCCAGAAAAAGAATAAAGCTGTTGATATTAAAAAGTGATTTCTGTTGTAATTTTATATTTATTAATATCTAATCATATTTGCTATTTTGTGATTTATCTATTCAGAAAATTTGTGCTGATATGGATTTAAATGAAGAAGATTATTAATAAGAAAGAGCTGAATAAAATTTTAAATAATCAAAAACTGGGTTCAATTAAATACATAGAAGATGCATGAAGTAAATTGTCAAATAATACTTTTTAAATCAATACTAACTGAATTATATTAAATATTACTAGAAAAATTGTAAGTATATGTATATTTGTTTATAATTAATTATTTATTTAATAGGTTAATTCATTACCAATTGAATGTGGTCAAGAATTTATATTAACAGTTTAAAATTACGATGAGATTAAATTCTAAACTAATATGGGAGAAGAATTTTATTGTATAATCAAAATTTGAAGAATTTATTGCTCCGTTTAGGACTTTATTAATAATAAATATAATATAAGAAATAATAAGATTAGTTATTATATTGTTTTTTAAAGGATTATAATTAAATTAATTATTAATTACAGACAGAACGTATAGGAATTTTTGATAAAATAGAATAATCATTTATTAAATGGCAATAAATAAAATGAATATTTATAAAGTAAATCTCAAGATAATATTAGAAAAGAATATCAATGGAATTGATAAATATATAAACCTGAATCTTGATGATATTAATCTAAAAATAAAGAGAAAGGTTATCCTATGATCACTCAGATAAATGAGTTATTGAATTACTAGGCTGATATCAGAACGCTCATCCACGCTTACTCAGGCACATATACCAGATTTCATCTAGACTCACAAAGAATCCCGACAAATAAGCATAAGCAAATTTGGAAAACCTTAGACATATACATACGTGAGCAGACCCATGAACTAAATCGTAAAAAAGCCTTCATTGCAATTAAAGCCCAAACCTTTTAAATTTAAACACAATAACTCACCAAATGTACCAAATGCTGTCTCTTATACACATCTAGATGTGTATAAGAGACAGCCATAGAGGTTGGAACCGACCAAAAAAACCTTAACCGATTAATAATCGATTAATATTAAAAAATATTGAAATTTTTTTTTCTTTGACCGCAGATTGCACCAAATTGTTCTTGATCATACATTTAGTTATAGGAAAGTCTTATTTATTATTATTATCATTAAAAAATTAATACAAATTCGTCCAAGTTCGGAGAACATGTGACCAAAAATTCATAGCTCTGGGCCGCATTAGATAATTTGACCAGAATTATGGTTTGATAATTTTAATCGATTAACCGATTTTTGAGATATCTTATTCGATTAACCGTCTTAATCGATTTCAAACTCTGAGTCAATATTCCAAAGAATCAAAATTTTACCTAAAAAGAGTAAAGTCCTATGAATATCGTCTCAATGTACAAATATTTCCCATATAAAAATACCACTCACTAGGATCTAAAAAATTCCATACCACCATATTTCAAGATATTAATATAGTTTAAAATGCACAAAGTACCCATTATAGAAAGAGATCAATATATTGCTCACGAGGATTAAGATATTAAAAAATGGTGTTAATTATTACACCTATTTCAAGTTGCCAGTTGCCATATTCTAAAGAATCAAAGCTGTATTCAAAGAGTGAGGTAATGTAATTATTATTATTATGAATAATTAATATATATACCAACTGCCTGTTCAAAGCCAATTAAATTTCAAATAAAAATTGTGAAAAAGGTTTAGCTGGGAATAAAAGAAAATAATCATTTCTACAATTATACAAGAAAAATTTTCTATCCACAAGATTAATATATTTATTTAAAACCCATTACACAAGGATTCATTTTATATGGGAAGTCTGGTCGTACAGATCAAAAACAAGATCGTGTTTATCGTGTTTGATAAAGATTTAGAAGTGCTTTATGTAAATTTTTTTTATAGGATTGAAAGTGAAGCTGGAACTAATGATACTAATAATATATCAAAAACTCAGGTACATAAATTTTTATTGAAGTTTATTTTGACAATTATTATAATAATTTATCTAATTTATTTTTAGGATTAACTGAAGAAATTTTGGCATTAATTGAAGAAATGAGGTTAAAACATGAAGCAGAAATTAATCTATCAAAACAACTTAATATAGAACCTGAATTTGCAAAAGCAAGATAATTTACTTTATTTAAACCATTTTAATTGCGTATAAGATTTATTTGTTTAATATTTAAAAAGAATATTATAAAATATCAAAGAGAAAAAAGAAGAATCTTTCTATATAATGCATTCCAGAAAAAGAATAAAGCTGTTGATATTAAAAAGTGATTTCTGTTGTAATTTTATATTTATTAATATCTAATCATATTTGCTATTTTGTGATTTATCTATTCAGAAAATTTGTGCTGATATGGATTTAAATGAAGAAGATTATTAATAAGAAAGAGCTGAATAAAATTTTAAATAATCAAAAACTGGGTTCAATTAAATACATAGAAGATGCATGAAGTAAATTGTCAAATAATACTTTTTAAATCAATACTAACTGAATTATATTAAATATTACTAGAAAAATTGTAAGTATATGTATATTTGTTTATAATTAATTATTTATTTAATAGGTTAATTCATTACCAATTGAATGTGGTCAAGAATTTATATTAACAGTTTAAAATTACGATGAGATTAAATTCTAAACTAATATGGGAGAAGAATTTTATTGTATAATCAAAATTTGAAGAATTTATTGCTCCGTTTAGGACTTTATTAATAATAAATATAATATAAGAAATAATAAGATTAGTTATTATATTGTTTTTTAAAGGATTATAATTAAATTAATTATTAATTACAGACAGAACGTATAGGAATTTTTGATAAAATAGAATAATCATTTATTAAATGGCAATAAATAAAATGAATATTTATAAAGTAAATCTCAAGATAATATTAGAAAAGAATATCAATGGAATTGATAAATATATAAACCTGAATCTTGATGATATTAATCTAAAAATAAAGAGAAAGGTTATCCTATGATCACTCAGATAAATGAGTTATTGAATTACTAGGCTGATATCAGAACGCTCATCCACGCTTACTCAGGCACATATACCAGATTTCATCTAGACTCACAAAGAATCCCGACAAATAAGCA